GTTGAGATATCATGAGCAAAACCTGGCTTTCTATACTTGTGTCACAACATTGAGCAAGTACATAAGTCCCCTGCACTCTCTGCCCCAATGGGTGACTATGGCTGCAAGTAATGGATTCCTGCACTGGGTAGCGGGGTTGTGTAGATGATCTCTGATTTCTAACCCTTATACATATGGGAGTCAAAGGGAACAAATGACAAAATAAACACTGCTGTGTTGTGATGCATAATTGATGTCCTTTCTATGTTTGTATTGTGACATTGCATGCATGTACATAAGGACCGGAGTTTGCTTTGCAACATTTGTTTCATTCTCTGAATAGGCACAGGAGAATGAACAAGATTAACTAACATTTATATTATGATAAGGGTTATTGAGTATTGGGGGCAGAAGGTTAGGGTTTGCAGCAGAGCAGACACAGGATGGACCTACTTATTTGTTACAGTACTGAGTCCGGAAAAAAAGGATAAAATAAAACACCAGCAAGAAGCTACAAATGAGCAAAAGGGGGGAAGTGTCTCAGAAGAAAGGAAGGGAAAAAAAAGTAACCAAGACCTTATTGTTATAGATGAACCTGAAGTGATTCCATGGAGATCAAACACAATACACAAAGTGCTAGAATGACTCAATGAGCAATGTTGATTTGTAATAATAAAATCTTTTTTTAAAAAAGAAATATATAGCAATAATATACTGTCTCTTTAAGACACTATATGCATGTTTCTGTGTTAATGAGAACTGTTGAGATTTGTTGCAAGACTAGATAACTGATTCTACAAAAAGCAGCAAATCCTGAAGTGTGTTTCATGCAGCAGTGACAATAATCTTTAACATTTCACATGGTTTAAAACATTACTTCTTTTAAAATCTAAGAACTACTGCTTGTCAGAAAAAATGGCACAATATTGAAGCAGTATAAGATTCAGACACCCTGCTATTCTGATTATATGTGAGGTAGAAAATTTAATTCAAATTAAGCAGAGAGAAGTGATCATAAACAAAAGATTCTTTTATCTCATGTTAATTATTTGGAATAATACCATCCCCTAATGACAAAAAGCAGCTGCAGTCTTGCACTTTTGGGTAGAACTCTCTCCTGGATAGTCCATTTTGACTCTTAAATGTCTGAATGCTCCTGGACACGTCTTGAGTACCCATTTCAGTACTATTGCTGGCTTTGTATTATTGCTTGTATCCAGCAGAGTTCCAGAAGCTTACCTAGTTCTTCCTTTAGGGAAGATGTGTGAGGCATGTTTGCAACGTTTTGTATAGGAACCTGTTGCACATCATGCACACATTTTTGTATTTTCAGTAGTACTGAAATCTCCTCTCTTCTACTGGTACTGAAATCTGCAATCTGACAAATGGAATTCAGTCTATGCCAAGTCCCATCATTCCAGACTCTGAGTATTTTTAAATAGAATATGATACAAATAATTAAATTATGTTGCTGCAAATGATTTAACAAACAATCATCATGGCTCCATTTTGAAAAAAAAAAACATATAGAAGTTGTTGTATATGTATATGTAAAAAGTATAACCTGTCCTTTCAGTATTTACACTTCAGACAGTTGGCTTTTACCTTCTGCTTTCTTTTTTATAACTTTCCATTTTGGCCTGAAAAGATTAGCAAGATATTTGGCCAATCACTCTTGGCTGATAATTTTGTTATGTAGTATATGCGGCATCTAAGGAATGAGTGGAGAGGAGACAGTCCCACTTTTTTCAAAGAAGGCTTCTATAAAAAAAAAAGGATCCAAAAGGTCTATACAGTTGTAGGCATGAGGCTGACATTTCCACAAAGGTCAGTCTGTTTTACTTTCTGGTTTGTAGCCAATACTGTACTAGGCAATCATTAAAGAAATTGAATTTATACAGGTAGTCCTCGACTTATGGCCATTCATTTATTGATTGTGTGAAGTTATGACAGCACTGAAAAAAGTGACTTAGGACTGATCTTTGCACTTACAACCGTCGCAGCATCCCCGCGGTCACATGATCAAACTGGCATGTATTTACAATGGTTGCAGCACCCCGGGGTCACGTGATCACCATTTGTGATCTTCCCAGTTGGCTTCCAACAAGCAAAATCAACAGGGAACTACATGATTTGCTTAATGACCACTGCAAAAAAGGTCGTAAAATTGGGCACAACTCTCTTAACAACTGCACTGCTTAGTGATGGAAGTTCCAGTCCCAATTGTGGTTGTACGTTGAGGACTACCTGTAGATCAATTTTAGGTAGGATTTAGGCCTGATTCTGCTGTGAGACTCTCCTTTATTGCATATAGAGTGATCTAGGTTGATTCATGCTGTGTCTTTTTAGATAAATTCTTGCACTGGGTTATAGTGATTACGTTCATACATGGACAGCCATTTCTGGAAATGGTTCTCTAGGATTTTTACTCAACTCCATGGCATTATTGAGGTCTTACATTCTGCTTCACATCATTACTGATTTACTAGAAATGGTCCCTCAGAATGATGAAGTGAGATATTTTCTTTTTATGCAATTTTCATCATAAATAGAGTGCATTAAAATTAGATGACAATAGTTAAAACTAAAACCACAGCTAGCAAAGAATAAAATGTACAAAAAGCTTGGTAATTTTTTTTTAAAAAAAAA